GAATTAATGAGAAAATACAAACTAAACACCGCAAAAGAGATATCAAAAAATATTTCAAATAAATCCACTGGAATAGTAATAAATTGACGAGAAAATTCCGGCACTACATTATTAATTATATACACTTTTTCATCAGGATTTTTTTTCATTGAGTCTTTATTTTTAGAGGCATGTTTTAGTAATTTTTTAGTCAAGAGAATGTTAACCTGTCTCTCATAATTTTTCTTTCAATAGTTAAGGAACAAATGAATAATTATTTTCAGTGGAAAATAAAGTAAAAAAAGAATAAGTAATAATTTATTTCAATCCACATGTATCTTGCCTTCCACAACCTTTTCAATAAGTGGGTATTTACCAAAAAGATAAAAAAAATGCCCCCGGCCCCGGTCATAAGATAAATTATTGACTAAATTAAAACGGATAAGAAAAGATATATAACTAACAAAAAAGGTGAGTAAAAAAAGAAACAAAAATTTTCATCGGAATTTTTTGTGAAGGGATTTTAACAATTTTTTGGAAAGCACAATAAATTATTTTTTTAACGAACTTTTTTTAATAAATATTTTTATATATGCGTATTTGTTAGGCAAAATGAAAGAAAGGGAGTAAAATTGGAACCGTGACTGAGCGGCCTAAGGGAGCAGACTGCAAATCTGTTATTTCGTCGGTTCGAATCCGACCGGTTCCTCCAAAATATCTCATTTTTATGGATGTTTGATTGGATAGCGGTGTTTTTTGTTGGTATGTCTTGAGAATTTTGAGAAAATTAGGTTATTAATTAAAATTATAATTATAAGTAAAGTATGTCATCAACTAATAAAAAAATTTTCAGTATCAGTCTTGATAAGGAAACTAGAAAAATAATAAGTGGTTGGGCTATGATTAGCCAATTGGATAGCCAAGCCAATGCTAGGCTCGGCAGAGGCAAATGGTATGCTACTCGCTATTTTTCTCGTGAAGAAGAAAATGGTGGTCTAATTTTTTCTGTTGAAGTAGAGATAGTAGAAACTGAATAAAAATAAAGGCGAAATTGTAAATTTTGTGCCGTAAGCCGTAAAAAAATTATTATGCAGAAAGGAAGAAATTTTTAACAAAAAATTTCTATATTTCTACAATATAACTATGCAATCATAAAAAAAACAGAATGGAAACAACATGATTGGGTGTAGCGAATGCAATTATAGAGGGGTCTTCTCTTCTTCTTAATATTTACTTGTTAATTAACAAAAACAAAGAAAAGAAAGAAATAGTAAAGCAAAAAAAGGAGAAGAAATTAGAACTTGACAAAAAAGAAAGAAAAATTAAATCATTGGAAAGAAAAATAGAAAGATTAGAAAACGAAAAATATGAAAAGTTAGAGGCTGAAAAAAACGAACAAAGGCAAGAAAACGAAAAACTAAAACAGGAAAATGAAGAATTAAGAAAGTTATTAATTAAAAAGAGATAAAAATTAACATCACTTTTCCTCCGAAATATTTATATGAGCCAAGAAAAAGACCAACAAATCCAATCTCTCCAAAGCAAAATCCAGGAACTAGAACAAAAATTAGAGGACTATTCCAGTGGATTTATTTGAAATATTTTTTGATATCTCTTTTGCGGTGTTTAGTTTGTATTTTCTCATTAATTC